ACCAGATCAAGGGCACATGACCACAATGTGGTCATGTCATGACAATTGCAACATGCAGCTGCAACACCAAAAACAATTTGCAAAACATGGCAAAGCCAGAGGCTTTCCTCTTGTGTGAGCTAGGAGCCGTAAGTGTCAAAGATGTTGTCCAGCAACGCGAAACCGTGAATGAGAAGCAAGTCCTCATTACTCCTCAGACAGTAACAGGTTAACGATTCACAGAAATGGCTGCTGTAGCCAGGGCTGAATCCTCTGCTTCAACTCCCTGATGCTTAGCAATTAAGGGATAGGCCAACAAGTAAGCTACCTGGCAGGTAGCCACACAGCCTCAATTCTTTTCAGATCAAGACGATTCATTAAGTTTATTCACCTGCACCAGCTGAGCAGAGCATCTTGTCACCGTAGTTGTTGAACACCTCTGTACCTTCAGCGACACCTGGCTCACCTTGCGAAGAAGGCTTGCAGGGTTTCACAGGGCATCTTGAGGATGACGTGCGTGAGTTTGCACAGTGCTGTCAATGAATTGCTAGTAGTCCCATGCCAGGCATGTTGTGAGTCAGATGTTTCTTGATTTGGATGAGGACGCACAAGTGCTTCAACATCGACGAGCAGCTCTACGCCTATTTGCATGCAGGTACATAGACTGGATCATACAGTAACGGCTTTAAAAATAATCATGAATAGTTACCCACAACAACAATACACTTATGCATATAGTGAAAATGTCAGAACTATCCCTAAGCGCCGCCCAGTAGAATATTTGTGGGTTGTCAGGGCATGCTGCTCACGTCTCGCCTGCAGTGAAGGTGACATGCATGTCGTCCGCAGACCAAACCTGCCGTGCTCACAAACTCAGCTAATTTCAGCTGATTTCAGCTAATTTCGGCTCATTTCACTGCATCAAGGTTTTGGTGATTCATTGCTGTGGCTTTGGTCTGTGCAGGACAGATTTGGGGCCGCGGCAATCTTCGTGCCACTGCGATGGTTCGTGAAGTCCATGAACCTTAGCTTCTGCTTCCCCACGACAACATGTAAGGATGTGTGGAGGTCTTCACTTCATCTGGCCCATTCTGCATTAGCCCTGGCTTCCATTCGCATCCAAAGCACGGAACCATGGCACCTTCACCATCTGATTCCTCCTGCGTCAGAGCTACTTAGAAATTAGCTTGCGAAGTGCAACCTTAGGTACTTCTTGAGCTTTGTTGAGGCAACACGAAAATGATCATCTTCAATCTAGATTAGTTTCACAACAACTGGAGATGCGGTTCAACAACAGCACTCCCTGTCGCAGGACTCGATCCTCCATCTCTTCTTCGGCCGACCGCTGCCAACCTTGGTCAATGAAACTCTGCAAATGGCATTTATTCTACAGGACTATATCATCCCCAACCGTGGCCTCCAACACTCGAGAGGAGCATCAGGAAACGCCAACACTTGCTTGCAAGACCAGGCACGATAGCCAGAGCTCTTGGTGTGTGAGGATAGGGCAGTTGGAAACCGGCGGGAGAACCACACGCCATACGCCCAAAGAAGCATCTGGGCTGATAGTTGACAGGTAGGTACATTCCGAGATGCGCGTGTCAACTATGATAGTCATCATACGGTGCTATAGGACATTACCTGGCTATAACTTGGGTTTTTTTCCGCTACCTAGGATTGCGGTTGCTTGATGCTAGCTTTAGGGGCCAAACCGTTTGGACTGCTAAAAACCATACATCAAGCCCAACCCCACGCAACAGTCCAAATAAATCAGTGAAAGTTGCGTCAAGGCTGTAGCGCTTCTCACCTGAGATCCAGGCAGGACACATTCGCTGTTGACATGATGCAGGCAAACTACCAATGATGAACACCACAGGATGCAACTTGCTCTTTCAGTTGCTGAGTCAGAAATGGCCTCAGCAACATAAACCTATCAAGCCACGTGTCGCCACCCATTGCCTGCGGCTATGACAAGCCGTAAGGACCTCACGGAATCTACATTGGCGCTCTCCTCTCTGCGGCCAGGTTGCAAAAAAGCTCAGGATTCGCTTCCCTGAGCTTGGGCATGAGCGCGTCAAAGTCATCCTCCAGCCTGAAGAAGGCGAGGGTACTGACGCCTTCAGACCTAGTAGGCAATGGTAATATCTGCTAATCACCAAGAATACGTTGAGAATCCATCCCCACATTTCCAAGTACGCGCCATCAAAGTGAATGCAGCTCTGCTGGGCAAAAGCTGAGCGCCACTCTTGGAACGCTCTTCCGCCACTGCAGCTGCCAAGTTTGTGCCTTGAAGCATAGCACCTTGGCAAGATGTGCCTTGCCATCCTGTCTAACTAGGTCCACTAGGTGAGCAATTATGCATAAGAGTAACTGTACAAGACTGTAGGATACTGATAACTTTCACGTGTTTGCTTTTTGAAGCCTTGCTGTTGAAACACGATCATGTCTTTTTTTCGTTTTTCCTCACCGGCCAAGATCTTCGGAGTCTGGTAAGCCGAGCAGGAGCACCGCATGCGAACTCGGTTTCGTGCTAGCTTGCTCCCTTCTTGGGGTCTCTTTGATGAGGGCTATGGTATTTAAGGGGCATGTGACTGTAAGGGGGAACATCCAGGATGGGCTATTTCACCTTCGAAGCAAGTTCATCTACCTTCACTTGTGTCTTGTTATGAGGACCTGAGGAATGATTGCGCATCGAGGCACCCATACAAAAGGACTATAGCCTATTGGGGTCTAGGACCCCCTAGTTGAGAAAACTCCCATTGATGATACAAATCCCAATTTCCACCTCATTTTCTATTTGATTCTTCATTGAGTGGCATTTAATGGGGTTCCTCCCAAACCCCCAAACCCTACACTACATACCCCTATATATTGAACCCTGTAATTAGTACAAACCACAATCATTCAGTCTGTGACAAAATGGGTCTGAGGCACGAAGGGCTGGTGGCCAGCCCACAGGAGAGGGGGCCGTGGAGGGCAGTGAGGCAGCATAGGCGGCCCTTGGCAGGTACTGTAGGGGCCTTTTTCGGTTTGTGAGGGGGGACCAAGGTAGGGGCCCAAATACTGAATCTAGGGGCAGCAAAATTGGCAAATACTATAGCTAGACAGCTAGACAGTTTCGTTCTGGATTCGACATGACTGGTGTGCTTACTTGATATCATGGCTTCAACTGCTATTGACTCCCATGCCTTGCAAAGAGCCCTGGTGCCGAGGGGCAGTGGATGTTCCTTGTTTGTGCGCGCAGCAATCACATCCAGTAGGAACACCATTTTGTTGGAGACTTTGCTCTTGCCATCCTTCCAGGCGAAAGGAGCACTTGCTCAGCAGAGGCTCAGAACCTCTTCACCTGAGTCCATGTCCTGGCCTCTCCCTTCGGGAAGGCTGCCAAACATGCCTGACCTGAGGTAAAGTAAGCAAGTGCGGGTTGTCCACATCTGGTCACTGCAACAGTTGCAGAATGTGAAGCTGCCTTGAAATCATCCGGTGAGCGTCAAGGATACAACACACACGCTGGCTTGGGTACCCTCAGAATCTCAGCAGTAGCCAGCTCCTCCATACAGAAACATCCTGGACTGAACTCACTTGCCTAGAGATGTCTGAAATCAGTCCTAAGCAGTAGTAAGGAGGTCCTGGTTACCCCAACTGAGGACCCTAGAAGAACCATATGGAAGCCATAAGGAAGGGTGTGATCTCAGGCTGGGATAACCAAAATCCCATGACTACCACAAGTGACTGAAGGTGGCTTGGAGACTCTCTGCGGTCCAGGGGCCCACAGTGCCCTCCCAGGCCTTCTCTGATGAGAACACGCATGTCTGCGGAACCTGCATGGCATGCCAGCTGTTCAGCTTCAGCAGTCTCACCTCCCTCCCGCCAACTAACACGCGATCTGTCATTTGAAGAGGGGGTTACTGGGGAGGGTGGCACTCCTGCCACTGTCCAATGGAAAGAATGGGGGAGTGGATTGCAGGGACTACCAAAGGGCAGTCGAAGACAGGATCATAAGAACGATGATGCCCTTATTCCGTACCCTCAACCCAAAATCCCTCAAGGTATTCTGTAGTAGCACTAGTTTCCATTGTCTTTCCCATTCCCTGCTGTTGCACCAGGGCCTTGGCGATCACCTGCCCAGGACCTATGGCCTCCCGAGCCTTAGGCATGGCTAAAACAAGGATTTGGGCAACTGCCAGAATGGAGAATCAACTAGAACATGGAAACTGACTTTACACGAGGACTGACTACATTGGGTACTAGAAGAGTTTTGGAAACCCAAACCCGCACAAAATGAGGGGGGGGGGCCTGGAAAATGTAGGATAACTCTAGATAAATATGGGCTATATCGTGATATGACAGGCGGAGTTTGGCAACCCCAACACCCCACGATATTGAACATGCTGCGCTCAAACATTATCTAGCATTCGGGGGTCCCGCTTTGGGGTCCATATACTAAGAGCATACGTTTATGTTGAGAGAGAGATATATATATATATATATAGAGCGGGATCCGTATTTGAAACCCTACCAGACTTGCTTGCAGGGAAGGCTCTAAGATGCCTCGCTCCTGATCTGGTGATTTGGTAGGGCAGGAGGGACTTCCTCTTTGGCTCCATACAGTACTGTAGTCCCTTTAAGCCCATATTACTTAATGAAATATACCCTACTAAGCACCAGGGACTGATTGCAGGACTGAGCCGCAGTCGCAGAATCCCCGTAAGCACACCTAATTTTGATTTCCTTTGTCCTAGTTGCTGCGCTCTCTCGCCCAAAAAAGAGTCAAACTTTCTCTTCTGATCAGATTTCACATGTGCATATATATATATAAAAGAGATATGCATGCAATCATACCTATGCCAATCCTCTGTAATAATACCTATATTTGCTTCCCCACCCAAAGTCCCAAAGTCTAAACGTGCTAAATCCTAAGCAGACTGCCGCGGTCCTCTTTGGACTCCTCGGGTGCTGCAGGGGCAACCCTCAGCCTTGCCACTCTACAGTAGGGTTTATCCCTTGTGCGTATTGTAAGGAATGGAAATGAACACGCAAACTACTAGTATTTACGGTTTAGGGTCTGCGCTAGTTAGTGGGGAATGGAAAGGAAAATGGAAACTACTTAGAATTTTTCCTGTTCAGGGATTAATGGTTGGGAGGGAACGGGAATGGGGAAGTGGTTCCAGGGCTTGTCTTCGCAGATGAAACTTCAGGACTACTCTGGGGATCTATCAGCCCTCCACTCCATAATTTAGTCCCGCTTAAGTAAATAGAATATGGAATTGCTCAATATCATAATAAGATTCCATGTACCCTAAAAAATTATTGCACCAGGGAGATTCTTTCATCCTTCTTCCAAGAGGCTTGTCGAGGCCCTCGGCTCCGCTCTGAGCAAGCCAGATCCGCAGCTGGACCACCGGCCTTGAGCGGATATGAAAATCATGTTGCTATGATACTGTTAAATAGTACTATACATACCTATACATCACACCGCGGCCGAAGGACCCGGGCACCCATATGCTATGTCAGGATACACGACTACTATAGCATATTCTATGATACAATGCTAGATTACTACATTATGCATTACGGCCTTGCAGGACCTAGTGTGGAGGAATGACATCACTAATGGGATGCTCAAGGGCAGTAACCTGTGCTTGCTCGGAAGAAGAAACACCTCTGCCAAAACCACTGAGAATACTCTAGCATGTTCACCGGCGAATAACAAAATGAATCCAAAAGGAGGATATGATCCTACATCTTCGGCATAGCTTCCCATTTGAAATTACTGCTCAGCTGAGCCGCTCATCCTCAGCAGCTGGAGATGCCATGGTTGGGAAGTAGTGGGACATCCGGTCGTGGAACCGACGTGAAGTGAGTAGTGCTTTTTAGGGCAGGTTGTTCATATTCTCACGATGAAATATTATGACCAACATGCAGATACTGTCTTGCTCTACATTGGGCACTCTACTATCCCAGCTCTTAGCTTGACACTGGCAGTCTCGAGTCCGGGAGTTCTTTCCTGAATCTCCGCCGTTGTTGCAGCAGTGGGTAAAACCGTCTCGGTCTGCGAGCTGATGCAGTCTGTGCTCCGAAGCTGATCCGTCAGGGGGTTGCACATGTGGGGAGGTTGGCATGCGCTAAATGCTGGGCACCTGGTCACGACATATGCCGGCGTGCGTTGGCACGACACAGGCACCACCAACAAGAAAAGCAGCAGTATATGTCTTACTATGATTGTGCAAGATGTCCGTAAGCAATTGAAGTGATATCTCCCACCTGTCGGCTTGTCCGGGGCAAGCGACGGGGGTGGAGCGGGCTCTGCACCCTTCCTCCACCTCAAAGCTGCAAGGGCAAAGGCCGATAGATAGTGTTTCTGAATATACTTGTAGGGGTACCCTTCAGGGATGTCTGGGATGTACTGTATAGGGACTAAAAAGATTCCGTATGAACTATTTCTCCCACAGCATGGTTCTGGATCTGGGCTCAGCCCGTGAAATCCCCTGGTTCCATGGCCTTGCCACGGGGGCGCGTGAGGACGAACCTGTGCCAGCCTCGATTCATAGAAGCAGCTACGCAGCTTGATGTACACTAAGGGTCGAAGTAGCCGAATAATGGGTACCCGCATACTGATCCGACACTGGTTTTTAGTACCTGAACCCTAACATCTTGATGCTAGGACCATCTTGGACCCCATAGGCGTTGTAATACGCGAATCGGTACAAAGCTGACTGTACAACTGGCATGAAGGGCACACAAAGCATGAAGAGCGAACTTGCTGGTGCTTTCAACTTAAGGGGTCGGGGGAGTCTAAGAGCGCCAGGTGAAGCTGAGTTGGGAGGCCTTGTCCTCCAAGGCGCGCACCTGGCCGCTTTTTGCAGGGTTTTTGAGGTCAACATGAGGCCATTCACGTTTCTTGGCGGAGCTTGGCAGCGTCCGGGTCTTGCGAGTTCCGTGAACCACTGCAGCCAGGCCTTCGCTGGAACGTTTGGCATGTCTTCCAGAGGCAGAACACGCGCTCCACGCAGCCGTGCCTGCAAAGTGCACCAGTCTTTGAATCGTCGGACTTCACCAACTGATGGCTGTCATTTGCGTGCGGGTGCCTTCTGTCCACTTTAAGGTGAAATGTAAATGACATACTTGAAGGCCCCGCGTACTTCTAAGTGGAGCGACGAGTAGAGCTACTAAGTTACTAGAGATCCTTGAGAGCAGCGTGGACGGAAGCACTCTATGTAACGGTGGACACCTGCAGCAACTCCAAGCACGGCACAGGTTCCTGCAATGGCCCCGCAACAATCGCTTCCGCTGGCAAATGCACCCCTTCCCTCCCCCTGCCTCATAGTGAATGAGCATCCATCAGGAGTGGATCTTGATTGGCCGACGTATAAGTATATGGAGGCCTATACACTTTCCAAGGAAGAAATCAAGGAGATCCCCAATGCCAGTTAGTCTTTTTGTTCTGCTTTGAAAGCCTGACATCGACATCAAGGGAGACCTGAATTCAAGATGTTCTTCGGACTCTTGCTACCTCCCTCCACCCGCCTTTTTCAGAAACTCTGCCCAGGCTCAAGGTGGGGTAAGGTTGTCTGATACTGCAAGCATTTCAGGTGCCTTTCTTTTTCAACGCCCAATCCTCTACGTCTCTGAAATACAAGACTAGACAAAAGGTCTCCGCGGCGCAGGAATGGATAGTTGGTGAACAACTCCCGCAAGCTCCAAGAAGCTTGCTCTCCTAAAAATTCTCGTTGACAAAATTTATTACTCAGTATAACCCTGCTCATAATTATGCATGGAATTTAGTGTCTGATTGCCCACTGTGTAGATAGTGTAGATTCTTCTGGACCATGGACCGCACTAGACCGTAGCATATGCACATTGGGCGACGGTCACATCAGCCAAGTCACGAGAATTGCTCCATCGCGATAACGAGAAAGCTCCTCTGCTTTTCAGTTGCTCGATGCAAGTGTTGGACAGACAGCCTTGTCTCCACCATTAGCCTCCAACAGAGAGTTTGAGATAAATCAAGCCGACCTACTGTCAGTGCACAACGATTAAAGGAAATCTAATTCAGGCTCAGGTCCAAAGATGGATCGCTTTCCAAAGCTTCAGTCATGCTCGCGGCTGTTAAGGATTTGGGGTAACAGAGACTTGTGCTTCTGCCAGCAACAAGCCAGCTCATCGGCATCCTTCGCCTCATCCTTCCAGCGTGTGCGGCCTAAGGGCTGAAACTCTGAATGGATGTTGGCGGCAAGATGACACCCTAGAATAGATGGTTTCTTTCCTTCTGTGAGGCCCCAGCGCTGGCCGCAGAGAGATCGGACGAAGCCCAGCGATGAGGAGAGACGGAGGGCAAATCCGCTTCGCAGGGGCCATGGCCTCGCCATCTCACAGCTACAAAGGCTGCTATAGGGATCCGCTCTCTCATTTACAAAGCACCAGGTAGAAAAGGGCAGCACGCTTGACTTGGCCAAGTGTGCGGCGTGCGCGTGAGCGGTTTCTCCGCATCTTGCCAGACCTGAATAGGTGCAACCTACAAAAGCCCTGTATAAAGCCAGCTTCCGGGTAATCTTTCATTTGATTCGCCATCATTCTTATACTGAATACATATGGCTACTGATCAAAACC